TTACACCACTTGTGACCACTCCACGAGACTAAAGCATCCGGACACGTGTTCACATCATGCCATATGGAACAGTCGATGTTTCCTAGACAATGACTTAAACTCATTTTTTTTTTAGATAGAATGAATAAGTAAATAAATTATTTTAACTATTAGTGAATATTACCTTTTAAAACCACGCAATTATATACAAGAGACTTCACCGCACCTACGAGACTGACTCAGGGATTGACCGAGCTACAATAATCATAAAGGCTGAGTCTCAAATATTGAGCGAAATTTAAATTTTTACTCATTAGATTTTTTTCCTTACTCCTTGCAATCAATTTTTTTTCAATATCTCTATTTTAATGAATTTTTAAATAGCGGATAATGGTTTAATTTGTTTGATATTGTAGTTGAGTTTTTCTTTTAATATTGTAATTATGGAGGAACGATATAATCTACTGGATTTACCTTCTATTTCATACTCTTTCTCCTTTTTCTTTTCCCGTCAATTGAAATATTATATAAAAAATTCTAATACAATAATGGGATGACACACAAACTGAAAAACAAATATTTAAATGAGCGATAGTTAATCAATGGAATAGTAGTATGGGAGTAATACCAGGCCGACCATATAATATAAATATAAAAGCGCGGCTTTAGGCCTTAAAATTTAAATATCAACAATATAATATAAGTTAAAAAATAAAATTTATTACAATATTGCCTAACAAATTAATTTTGAAAGAGTAAATTAACAAAAAAATTAAAAATTCGGGCCTAAGAGTTCGAATCTCCTTACACAATCACATTTATTAAAGGACAAAAAAGATTAATAAAAAAAATATTGACAAAATCTATCTCTTTTTCTAATCGAAAGAAGTATAATAATCATCTCTCTTTAATAAAAAAAATCAAACTAAACACATTCTTTACTTCTCTTAAACTTTTTTTTTTTTATCATTTGAATGCAAAACACTAATTAAACCATTCATTTTCATTAAAAAAAATATTTTGATAAAATTCTTATTCGTAACAAATAAAATATAACACATTCTTTACTTCTCATAACTTTTGTAAAAAGGTTATGTTAACCCTTGTTTCTATTCCAATATTATCGAAAAAAAATGGTTATAAATGTCAGAATGTAAATAAATAAAATATTATTTTATAATTAATTAATGAAAACTTAAAAAATAAAAGAAATAGAGGGAAAAATATTTTCAAACTACTTATCAAATTTGATTCTTTTAATTTATATAAAAAAAAATCATAATTAACCACATATGGTTTGGTAAATATAGTGAAAGGGAGGGCGTGGGCGGGGTAGGGGAGAGGGGAGAGGGTGTTTGGTCTGTTTCTAATTTAACAAGCGAGTGAGTTGCCTTGTTAGGCACGTCTTTTTTGGGTTATCAACGCTATAAATACCAAGCCATTTCGCTCCTCAATCTCTCTCTCTCTCTCTGTAAACTTTTGCTATTTCTAGGTTTTCTCTGTTCCTGCCGTTGGTTTGGAGGTGCATTAATTTTGCTCCCCATATTTTCTGCTCCATTTTCTGTTGGGTTCTCGTCAAAATGTCGTTTTCTTGGCTACCTTTTAGTTTTTCTCGAATTAAATGCTTCGTCTTATTCTATGGGTTTTAGGTTTTGAATCAGAGAGCTGCTTTTTTCAGAACTCGTTGGCGTTTAGTTGTTCGGTGGGGAATGGGGATATATTAACGTTTTTGAACTGCCCAAACAAGGTATTGCACTTTCTGCTTCCTTTCATTTTCTTTCGTGCCTGCTTGCTTTCTTTCATGAGAGAGAATTTTCTTGGTTCTATTTATGCAATGCTGTTGGAATTAAGCTCAAAAGATAGAATCTTTTTCACGTTTCTTTCCACTAGACAGCTCCATATGGTGAGTTTTTTCAGTGTTTTCTTGTGAAGGAGCGATCTTTTTATTGCTGATGATGTTTTGTTTCAATGATTTTTTGGGTCTTTTAGACATGCAAAATTGCTACCTTTTGTGGCTCTTCTTTGTATTCTTGTTGGGCCACAAGACTCAACAAGCCAATTTAGATTCATATTTGATCTTCTGGCAGTTGGACTTTCTTTTCCCCAAATGGGTAGCTAGGATTTGAACGGCTTATGCTTGAAGAGTTGGATTTCTGAATTTTCTCTGTTTGTAAATCTGCATATAAACAAATATGATATTTATGTGTTTATTTTAATGTACCTATCATGATTTGACAGGACAATTGTTTAATTTATTTTTCTATCTTTTGATTACAACTATATTATTTTGTCAGTTGCCAATCACTGTAGAAGATGTTGGAATTTTGATTATGTGCCTTAATCAGATTTCGTGGTTTACCATGCAAATATATAAAAGTCAGGAGATCCTGTATTGTTGTAATTAACGACCTAAACAACAGTCTTTACATGGTGTTTAGCTTGTACTACCATTGCTTTTTTAACTAAGTCAGAGATCTAAAGGCTGGTTGGAGGACTGCCCAATTCCATACTTGTCCAAATAGCCAACTATTCATTCATATAGAAAATTAGTTTCAGTTTTTGTATTATCAAAAGCATGTAGATGTAAAGGTTGGACTTGGCGTGATGACAAATGCCCATCATTTGAAGAGATTCAGCCAGAGATCAAGTCAAGAAATCTCTAATTAGGCTCTTAAAATTCGGAATAAAGTTTTCTATCATTTACCTCTCCAAGACCTGATTTAGGCGATGGCCTTGTGCAAAATTTGTTTAAAATAGTTTTCCAAAATTCATTAATAATTTTTTGAAACTAAATATGTGAATTCTAACTGGGATTGGATTTTTCATAAGATCTTATTAGTTTTTAAAAATTGTGGCTAAAGGTGAACTTAAAATCTTGATTTGGCCAATTTTCTAGACTGCTCTCGTTAAATTTTAGGAAGGTGGGTNAACTGGGATTGGATTTTTCATAAGATCTTATTAGTTTTTAAAAATTGTGGCTAAAGTTGAACTTAAAATCTTGATTTGGCCAATTTTCTAGACTGCTCTCGTTAAATTTTAGGAAGGTGGGTGTCACCAGGTATGTCAATGGATTGGATTTATTTGTTCTGAATTTGAGTTTAAAAATGCAATTCGAATTCAATCAAAATATTTGAATGATTTTCTTTTTCCAATCCATATTCAAATTCTCTAGAAATCAAATGATGCAAATAACTTAATTGAACTAAATTTTAAAAAATTATATTAGAATTTTAATTTAATTTCATCGTATATATACGCACATGTATTTTTTGGATTGGATCATAATTGGATCGGATATTGATATACTTAAATTTGAGCTAATGAAATGATATAGAAGATTTGAATTTTGATTGGAGTCGGGTGAAAATTTGATTCATTGACAAGCCTAGTTGTCCTCATATAGACCTCTCCACTACAGACAAGGGTGGTGGGTTTTCATTTGTTTGGTAGTTGGGGAGTCATGTCATTAAAGTATCAATATGGTGATGCCTACATGATTTTTTTTTTCTTTTTGTTTCTGTCTTCTTTCTTTCTTTCTTGAATATATGCTGCTTTGTTTATGATTGTTAAGTTTACAATTTAAAAATCAGATCTACAAATGAAATTAAAGTTGTCTTTTTTAGGCACAGCTCTCCCTGGGCATGTTTATATCGTGAATATACTTAAATTTATTTATGCTGGCAGGTTGGGGTGTTTACTATGTTATATTTGACCATTTATTGGTGTTTATATAAAAGAGTTCTTTCAGTGCCTCAATAGTTTCCTTGGGAAATGGGTTTTTTGTTGTTAAATAGTAAAATTTATCTCGTCCACTCTCATATGTTGGAAATTATGATTTATCCAAGGTATGATCTCTTTTGGCATCAGAATAGAGTCCTTTTCAATTCTTTTGTTGCCAAAGATATAAGCATAACATGGAAGTTTTATAGCTTATTTAGAGCAAGATTTACTTAACAGTGTGTTGGAGTCTTCATTTTAGACAATTGAGGACAGAACAGAGGCATTATATCACACAAATTTTTCGGTGCATATTGGACTACTATTAGAACAGCAAAAACAAAAACTATCTATTAGACCAGCAATTATGTATTTTGTCGATAAAATTGCTCTTATCGCCATATTGAGTGGTATACTGTCATCATTTTTACGAGTCTTTCTATAGCTTTTATCTGTTCTTGTGATGTTGTTTTGTAACAGATTGCCCACTTGTAATGGTCTTAGAGGTTGTCACTAGATACTTCCATGGTTAAACTATGTTTTTCCACACTCTTTCTACCAAGTTATGATGTTGCAAAAGCTAGATTGTTTTAGAGGGTGTCACTAAATACTTCTATGGTTAAACTATGTTTTTCCACACTCTTCCTACCAAGTTATGATGTTGCAAAAGCTAGATTGGTTAGTCCCTTCTTTTGTGTTGCAACAGGAAAGGCATTGACTTTGTTGGTGTTGGGGTCATTACATCACTGGTCTACCAAGATGTTTGCAACAAGCAATGTTCGACTACCTCGTATAAATGCAGTGTAGCTTTGGAGATGAGGTATAATTTAGTTTGAATATGATAAGGAAGCTATGATCCTTTGTTGAATCTTGAATAGATCTTCATTTAACTTGCACACTACTGCATCATCAGATTTTCAGAAGCCTGTGCTTGATGGACTGCTCAAGCAGTCGCAGTGACAAGAAAACTTTGAAGAGGTGGTTTTTCATTGACAAAAGAGTGGGTTAANGAGGTATAATTTAGTTTGAATATGATAAGGAAGCTATGATCCTTTGTTGAATCTTGTATAGATCTTCATTTAACTTGCACACTACTGCATCATCAGATTTTCAGAAGCCTGTGCTTGATGGACTGCTCAAGCAGTAGCAGTGACAAGAAAACTTTGAAGAGGTGGTTTTTCATTGACAAAAGAGTGGGTTCAAAAGTTACTACATTAGGTGATTGTATCTATATTCTCACAAAGCTGCAGTTGAACATAATACACAATTTGTAGTAATTTTTCTGTCCAATTAATCTGGATTCTATGGACTCGAAATCTACAAAAGCTTCTCCAATTCTTACTGATCCTACACCCATCAACAAATCTAGACTAGGCATCTATTCTAGTCTATTGCCTTACTCCCAGTCAGGACCATCATTCTCTACTAGCATGCTAACAATTCCTAGAAAGAAGCCAACCAAGCTTGATGATGTTCGATCCAATGGTTGGCTTGATGCTATGAAAGCTTCTTCACCTCCTCGCAAGAAGCTACTAAAGGATTCCAAGCTTGAGGTTGCTTCAGATGATAGTAATGTAGCTTACAATTCTTGGATGGTATGTACCGTGTCTCATTTTGTCTAGGAATTTTAGTAGGCTATTTAAAAAGGCAAGGAATGTTTGATCAAGATTTTCTGATTGCGCAGGTCAAGTATCCATCAGCAATTAACTCTTTTGAGCAAATCATAACTTGTGCAGGGGACAAGAAGATAGTGATATTTTTAGATTATGATGGGACTCTTTCTCCTATTGTAGATGACCCTGATCGTGCTTTTATGTCTGCTGATGTAAGTATCCGTGTGATTGTGTCTTTCTTCTGTCATACATTTGTTAGTTGTGTTTTTGGGTTGAACCAACCTCTTCCTTTGTCAGATGCGTTCTGCTGTTAGGAATGTGGCAAAATATTTTCCAACAGCAATTATTAGTGGAAGAAGCCGTGACAAGGTAGATCGAGGAATTTCTACATAAGTTATTGTCTGATTTCAGAACTTCAGGATTTGATTTTTATCTGTCCATCATATGATTTCTTTAGGGATGGCATTAGGGTCTAATCATTTTGTTTTTCCATCAGGTTTTTGAGTTGGTAGAACTAACAGAACTTTATTATGCCGGCAGTCATGGTATGGACATTATTTCCCCTGTGAGAGACATGCTGTCCACTGAACATTCGAATTGTATTCAATCCACTGACCAGCAGGTATGAGATTACAGATCCTTCTGGTACTTCCTCATGTGCTCCCACCCGACAGGATGGTGATAGTGTTTTGTTGTATTCTTCTCCTTCACTCTTTATATTCTGGTAATCTAGTATGTTATGATGTGTAGGGCAAGGAGGTAAACCTTTTTCAGCCAGCCAGTGAATTTTTACCAATGATCGAGGAGGTGTGTAGTTGTATGAGATTCTTCAATATATGAAAAGGGAATCAATGTCTATCGAATAACATGAAGAAAACTGTTGTTCTTTTTGTAGGTTTTTAGAGCCTTGGTTGGGAATACTAAAGATATCAAAGGTGCAAAAGTTGAGAACCATAAATTTTGTGCCTCTGTTCATTACCGCAATGTAGAGGAGAAAGTGCGTTATACTTGATTCTTTATAGCCTCATGGTCTTACTGACTTGCATTGTACTTTATACCCTTTTGGCTCACTAGTTAATGATATTACTTTCGTTTATTTACTTTCAGAGTTGGCCTACAATTGCACAGCTTGTTCATGATGTCTTGAAAGATTACTCCCGATTGCGACTAACTCATGGGCGGAAGGTAATAACTTGGCTAGTTTTTAGTACTAATGGTATCTTTTCCGCTGCTTTGTGTAAGTATGCTATTATTTATCTAGAACTGAATTGAATATGATCTTGCGGTATGTTTTTAACTATAAAATTTTTACAATTTTTGGCTTTCTTCTTCGTCCTAGGTTTTAGAGGTCCGTCCTGTGATTGATTGGGATAAAGGTAGAGCAGTTGAATTTTTGCTTGAATCTCTGGGTAAGTGAACTTATCCCTTCATCACAAAGCGAGCAAATTATACGTGTTGCAGTATCAGATTATCTCAGCTTGTTTAGTTGTACAATTACTTGACATAAATTTTGCAGGGCTAAGTAATAGTGATGATGTGCTCCCAATCTATATTGGAGATGACAGGACGGATGAAGATGCATTTAAGGTACAACATACAGCTATTCCATATATAGGATTCCATGAGCTTGTATATTCACTTATATGTGATACAATTAGCTTTCTAATTTTCAATGTTTTCATACATCATCAGGTATTGCGGGCTTGCAATCGAGGTTATGGGATCCTAGTATCATCGGCCCCAAAAGAAAGCAATGCATTCTTCTCACTCAAGGACACTTCAGAGGTACCTAAATTTCGTGCTCATGTGCATTTGACTTCATTTATGTTGCACCTCTCTTAGATTAACTGGTGTTTTGAAATTGTATGCAGGTCAAAGAATTCCTCGAGTCCCTTGTGTATTGGAAGGAGCATAATGCACTATAACTAGATGAAAAGGAGGAGCACAGGATGGTCTGCAGATAGTCCAAATATTATTTAGTTTGCGTTTTAGAAGTTCGGAATAAAGGTGATTCAGGTGGGAGATGCCGAATTCATATGCAATTGAATCCCTCGAAATCTTCCTGCTTCAATTATTTATTTGTAAAGAGTATGTATGCATCAGTATCATTTGTTGCAGCTTCATTCTTACAAGAAAAAGTTATGCTGCATCATTCCAATTTATTGGAAAGATTTTAGTCTAAGTTGTCTGTCGAGACTTTTTTCTATGAAAGAAAAGAAACGAAATGAAGTTGCATCTAGTGCACTAGGTTCCTGTCTGTAGAGGGTTCTCTTATGGGTAAGATTGATCCTCGAATGTGAATTCATAANGTCGAGACTTTTTTCTATGAAAGAAAAGAAACGAAATGAAGTTGCATCTAGTGCACAAGGTTCCTGTCTGTAGAGGGTTCTCTTATGGGTAAGATTGATCCTCGAATGTGAATTCATGACGTTTGATAAGCACTTGTCATCACACATTCAACATCTATCACAGAGAAGCAAACAAAGGAAAAACCTGGCTGTGGCTGCGATGTCTTCATACGTGGAATACTGACACATTGGTCCATGATCATGTCCTGATTGTAAGTGTAGTTAGGTGTTTGGAGTCAAAGAAAAAAAACACAGAACAAACATTGTCATTCAAGGCAAGGATTGTTCTGCTACTGTGTTAGGAGAAGGTTATTGGGGGATAAAGGGTGAGGCTATAGCCAAGGTTCAATAAGTAGAGAGGCGGTTTTCAAGTGCAATTGATCATTTCACTCTTGTAAATTTTTTTGTAATTGAGAATCGTTTCAATCATATGCTCTATTGGATATTTGACTATCGTGAAAAAGTTTATTATCCGATCTGCTCTGATGGACCTTGTCCTGTTTTGATGAATGACTGCAGTGATTTTAAGATGACAAACCCGGATCCAAGTGCAGTCCATTGATTCGTTGGATCCAAATGATCTTGTATCTTATAATTTAATATCTCGTACGATATCTTGTAATAATAATTGGTAAAATTTTCCTCAGGGTTTGGAAATTTCATTGCAGTACTCTGTTTTTGTGGAAGTAAATGCATGTGGAAGCTTGTGACGAACTTGGGTGTGCATGTGGCACTTGGAAATTTCTTAGTGCAATTATTTTGGAAACATGAAGAATCAAATTAATGATACCTAAGCTTATGTATGAATAGACAAATTGGTTGTTCTTGTTCAGCTTTTGATTCTGTTTCATATTGTATTTGTTTTAAGATTAAAGATAAGGAGTACAAGACAAGAACATTAGTTGGGGAAATCACAAGATCTATTTTTTGCATGTGGTCAAGCACATGTCTTTCGCGTATGTCTTGCCCTGCCAACCTTCTTTTTTTTTTTTTTTTTTCAGTTCAATGATTAGGAATGTGTGGATCAACTTACGTACACTTCGACTAATCTCTTTTTTGATTTGATCAAAGATGGTTTGTCCACGCCAGAAACTTTTTTCTTTCATGCACAATGGAGGACTTGTTTTTTCTCACGTACCATAATAGATTTAGTCTATTTACCAAAAAAAAAAAAAAGGAAAGAAAGCTAGTAGAGAGTTAGGGAAGCTTGAATGTTGTCAATCCCATTTAAATTTATTATAAATAAAAGTTTGAAACGAATTAGATTGATTTTCATACAATTTTCTCAACTGTGAATGTTGATGATGCAGTCCAAACAGCCTAATCCCCTTAATTTTCAATGTTATTAATTTAAACAAGTTAAATCATTCGTCGTTAATTTATTGAGCTTTATTGATGGCTTTATAGTGCATTGTATGTAGGAATAATTATAACTATTCAAATAGCTTCCTAAATTTGTAGATAAATAGCTTTATTATGTATAGTTTAGGGGTAGGGGTCTCTTCATCTAACTTTCAGTCATCACAAGAAAGTTATGCCATCTATAATTGTTATTTGTCTAAACTGCTGAATTTGTACAATTTACTTACAAAAATCTATCGCAATAGTAGAAATATTCTTTTTTTTTTTTTTTTGATTCAAGGTTTCCGTGTTAACTTATACACACCTCAACTAATTTTTTATTTGATTCGNTTTTTTTTTTTTTGGTTCAAGGTTTCCGTGTTAACTTATACACACCTCAACTAATTTTTTTATTTGATTTGGTTAAAGTCAGACCATCCACGCTGGAATTATAGTATTTATAAAGAATAAATTTTTCATGAACTTTCTCATAGCCTAACACCAAAGAATTACCAAAATTTAAATTTAAGACATCTGAATTTACTGTTAGTCTTTGTTATCACTTGAGGTACTCCGACAAATTATAATAAAAATATTCTACATATCTCACCTCCCATCAAAATTTCTCTCTTCTCTCTTTCTCTTTCTTCCGGCTAACCTCAAAACAGTGAAAAAATATTAATTATAACCGTTACACTATGTTAGCAATGCCACATGGTGTAATAGTCTATTAATATGTAGACAAATCAGCCAATAGATCTCATTTAAACTCATAACTACTCAGTTATGTCATACATAATTACTTTCATAATAAAAAGTAAACTCTATTTTATTTTTAATTTTTTTTTTATTGAATGGTTGCACCATTTCAACAGTGCTGACATACTATAAGTTGCACCCAATATTTACTCCAAAACAGTATTCCTCCAAAAATTGGAGACAAAGACCTATATGAGGCAATGGTAATATGACACAATCCCACCTATCATTTCACCATCTTTAACAAACCGTNCACGCCAGAAACTTTTTTCTTTCATGCACAATGGAGGACTTGTTTTTTCTCACGTACCATAATAGATTTAGTCTATTTACCAAAAAAAAAAAAAAGGAAAGAAAGCTAGTAGAGAGTTAGGGAAGCTTGAATGTTGTCAATCCCATTTAAATTTATTATAAATAAAAGTTTGAAACGAATTAGATTGATTTTCATACAATTTTCTCAACTGTGAATGTTGATGATGCAGTCCAAACAGCCTAATCCCCTTAATTTTCAATGTTATTAATTTAAACAAGTTAAATCATTCGTCGTTAATTTATTGAGCTTTATTGATGGCTTTATAGTGCATTGTATGTAGGAATAATTATAACTATTCAAATAGCTTCCTAAATTTGTAGATAAATAGCTTTATTATGTATAGTTTAGGGGTAGGGGTCTCTTCATCTAACTTTCAGTCATCACAAGAAAGTTATGCCATCTATAATTGTTATTTGTCTAAACTGCTGAATTTGTACAATTTACTTACAAAAATCTATCGCAATAGTAGAAATATTCTTTTTTTTTTTTTTTTGATTCAAGGTTTCCGTGTTAACTTATACACACCTCAACTAATTTTTTATTTGATTCGGTTAAAGTCAGACCATCCACGCTGGAATTATAGTATTTATAAAGAATAAATTTTTCATGAACTTTCTCATAGCCTAACACCAAAGAATTGCTAAAATTTAAATTTAAGACATCTGAATTTACTGTTAGTCTTTGTTATCACTTGAGGTACTCCGACAAATTATAATAAAAATATTCTACATATCTCACCTCCCATCAAAATTTCTCTCTTCTCTCTTTCTCTTTCTTCCGGCTAACCTCAAAACAGTGAAAAAATATTAATTATAACCGTTACACTATGTTAGCAATGCCACATGGTGTAATAGTCTATTAATATGTAGACAAATCAGCCAATAGATGTCATTTAAACTCATAACTACTCAGTTATGTCATACATAATTATTTTTATAATAAAAAGTAAACTCTATTTTATTTTAATTTTTTTTTTTATTGAATGGTTGCACCATTTCAACAGTGCTGACATAGTATAAGTTGCACCCAATATTTACTCCAAAACAGTATTCCTCCAAAAATCATTGGAGACAAAGACCTATATGAGGCAATGGTAATATGACACAATCCCACCTATCATTTCACCATCTTTAACAAACCATACTTTCTTCTTCTCTCTCATAATTTCTCCGATATAAAAGAAGCTTCTCTCGTCATTTGTCTCTCCACGACCAATGCACTATGGTGCTCTCAAAACCATTACGTACAACCTCTGAACAAAATGAACCAACCACGGTCCTCCCATTTTCCTACAGTCCCTTGCCGGATGAGACCCAATCCGTCGGAGCTTCGGCCGAACGCCGGCAACCCAATAGGCTAATAATCCTATTATTATCTGGGTTGCTGGTGGTTGGTTTCTTGGTCGCCTTATTGAGTGGAGATGGACTGGCTACAAAGGGTGGTGGTGGTGCTGACATGTTTGCCACGTCCGGTTCGACAACTTCACCGGAGAGAATAATCCCGGTGGCACGGGGGATAAAGGAAGGGGTGTCCGCGAAATCATTTGTCCCATTGGCCGGCGTGCCTCAGTATCCATGGACCACCGAAATGTTGGATTGGCAAAGAACTGCTTTTCATTTTCAGCCAAAGAATAACTGGATGAATGGTATGTGCTGTATCTATATATTCCATGCAAATATATATATATATATTTGATGACAAGTTTCTAATTAATGGAGATGAATGTAAATTGGATGGATCTTTCAAAGCTGGATGTAATTCACTTTCAATCCAAAAGATATAATTAATTAGATTTTTAAAATTATGTTCAAATAATTTTTTCTTTCTAAAAACTGCTTTTTAATTTTTATTTTATTATTTCTGATCTTTTATTTGCTTTATTTTTTGCTAAATTCCTTTTTCCTTTGCCTTGTTTCGTTTGTTTTGACTATCATTGTTCTTACGGGGGATTCGGCTTCATTCTGCTCCAGATCCTAATGGTATATCTCTCTCTCTCTCTGTGTGTGTGTACACATTTGACTATGGGTCTTCAAATTTGCCTTGTTAAAATCAAACGTCATTGACAAATGTACTTCTGGACTTGGACAAAAAGTAATCTTAGACAACTAATTTTGGACATACATTATAGTTCTCGTAAATTACGGCACTAAGTATCAAAATTTGCCAAACGAAGAATCTAAGAGGGGATAAGGCTCCCCTTAGCCCTAAGAATCGAGTTCTAAATCGGTATGGCACTACTGCATGCTTTGGATCAATAGAACAAGAAGATGAGTCAATCAAAGAGAAAGACCATAAAAATTAGTGATCACAAAGATACGCACAGTGATTCGATCTTTTGATCACCCATTTTTTGAGGACTTTCACCTTGCACATGAAAGATTGGATTGAATGAATCACAAGTCTTATATACTATGTTACGATCACTTTATATTGATAAAAAGTTCAGAGAACAATTTAAAACTTGCCTTTTGTTTGTTGTTTTTAACAATAGAGAAACATTAAGCTATAGGAAAAGGAAAAATACAAAAATTCCCTTGAGATTTATCACTAATATAATTACAACAATACTCATTCCGTTATATTATTTGGGATCTATAATTTGGTAAAAAACTTGGTGGATACAACATTTCTCATATAATTAATTATTTGCAAAAAAATACTCGTTGAGATTTCGGGTCAAGTTATTGTTAGTAAAAGTTTTATTTGGTGTTGCATTGTTGGTCTAAAAAGCACGATATAAAATTCCAATAATTATGCACATTTTTAACACCATTTGATATTCCACCTATAACATATTACAGGTCCAATGTTTTACATGGGATGGTATCACTTTTTCTACCAGTACAACCCTAATGGGGCAGTGTGGGGTGACATTGTGTGGGGACATGCCGTATCTAGGGACCTAATTCATTGGAGCCATCTTCCGATCGCCATGGTTTGCGATCACTGGTATGACATCAACGGTGTCTGGACGGGATCCGCCACCATTCTGTCGGATGGCCAAATTGTCATGCTCTATACTGGATCAACCGATGAGTCGGTGCAGGTCCAAAATCTTGCGTACCCTGCCAACTTGTCGGATCCTCTCCTCATTGATTGGGTCAAGTACTCCGGCAACCCGGTTCTAGTCCCTCCACTCGGAATCGATTCCAAGGATTTTCGTGACCCGACAACAGCGTGGGTCACATCCAAGGGCACCTGGCGAATCACCATTGGGTCAAAGTTGAACAAAACTGGCATTGCATTGGTCTATGATACTGAGGACTTCAAAAACTATGAGCTCTTAGATGGGTGGCTCCATGCAGTCCCGGGTACGGGCATGTGGGAGTGTGTGGACCTTTACCCGGTATCTAAAGTTGAGGAAAATGGGTTGGACACATCAGAAAATGGTCCTGCTGTGAAGCATGTGGTCAAGGCTAGCCTTGATGATGATAAGAATGATTATTATGCAATCGGCACTTATGATGAAAAAGCTGGTACATGGATCCCGGATAACCCGAAACTTGATGTTGGCATTGGATTGAGGTATGATTATGGCATTTTCTATGCCTCAAAAACATTTTATGATCAAGAGAAGAAAAGAAGGGTGTTGTGGGGTTGGATTAAAGAGACTGATAGTGAAAGCGCAGACATAAAGAAGGGTTGGTCGTCTGTTCAGGTAAAATAATAGCCGACCTCAAATAGTTAAAATCGATTTTGTTGAGTTGGGTTGGGTACAGCAAGTGATGAAAATGTTATTGTTCATATGGTTGATGTATGACAGGCCATTCCAAGGACTGTACTGTTAGACAAGAAGACTGGTAGCAATTTGCTTCAGTGGCCAGTGGAGGAGGTCAACAAGTTAAGATCAAACATCAGCGAATTCAACAAGGTAGAAGTTAAAGCCGGATCAACCGTGCCACTCAATTTGAACTCAGCTGATCAGGTCCGTAATTTTATTCTAATTTTTGAAATTTCATAGTGTGTATATATATATATATATACACACANGCCACTCAATTTGAACTCAGCTGATCAGGTCCGTAATTTTATTCTAATTTTTGAAATTTCATAGTGTGTATATAAGGTTATTTATTCATGGCTATGTAATGTTTATGTAACAGCTAGATATCGTGGCCGAGTTTGAGATAGATAATGAGACATTGGAGAGACTAAATGGAACAGATGAAGTTTATGATTGCAGAGAAAATGGTGGAGCTGCACAAAGAGGTGCATTGGGGCCATTTGGAATCTCAGTTCTTGTGGCTAAGGACCTTTCTGAGCAGACTCCAGTCTACTTCTATGTTGCCAAAACAGCTGATGGCAGGCTTAAGACTTTCTTCTGCAGTGATCAGTCAAGGTTTTATTATCATCTTCTCATAATTTTTTTCGTTTTCTGGTATACAGTAACAGAACAAGTCCATGTCAATTTTCTCAAGGAAGAACCAATTATCTCAACTCATGGAGGTACATAATTTTTGTTGTAGGTCTTCTGATGCAACCGATGTTGTTAAGGAAATTTATGGTAGCACAGTTCCGGTACTCAAAGGCGAAAAATTATACATGAGGATACTTGTAAGCTTCAGTACCCTTCTGTTTATCCTTTCCTGATGTGTGAATTAATATATATATTGCCATTAGGTATGACAGTTTGATTGGAAAGAAATAGATATTTGCTCAAATTTGTCTCATTTGGACCGGAGATGGACCATACGTATTGAATGGTGGACATATATAGGAATACTCGTATAAACCCGTACGGTGATAGAAATGGGGATGGAATAAAATTCATTCCCGTCCTGAACAAATAAAATAATTAAGTGAAACACAGTTTTGTTATACATATTATTTTTGTAAGTTTTTATATTTGATCTATTTGTTATGTAATGAGTTTTCATCATTCTTACAAATCTATTTGGGAGGTTTTATGATTTTTTTTTTAATTTTTTTCTTAAAATTATAGAAATTAATTGTTATAGGTAGGGATGGTAATGGGGACAATGACTAAATTTAACTTGCTAATGGGGTGAATGAATAATTGTAAAACGCGTACAGAGGTGAAGACTACTCTTTCCGCCCCTGCCCCAGTCCGCTGTCATCTCTAATTACCATGAAAACTAAAATCATAAAATATTAATTGGGTGCATTTTAATTGTGTTTAAGGTTGATCATTCGATAGTAGAAAGCTTTGCTCAAGGTGGAAGGACATGTATCACCACAAGGGTATATCCAACGAAGGCAATCAAAGAAGGTGCTCAGCTCTTCTTGTTCAACAATGCAACTGAGGCCAACATTACTGCCTCACTCCAGATATGGCATATGAATTCTGCATACATACATTCCTTCCCTACTGAGCTGTTGATGTAAATAACTTCAAAACCTGATCAACTCCGACTCCCTCCAGGTTTTTGAAGAACCCTCTTGTACCACATTCTTTTTCTCTGTTTGTATTTAGGATCAGCTATGTCATTGAATATAAAAAGTTACGTAGATGATTGATTTTCTCTCTTCAATTGCCATCAATCCATTGTACTTGAAAACTCGATTATTTTTTATTCCTCTACACACGTGCATCGCTTCATATATTTATTTGTCAACATTTTACACATTTAGCATGGTTTAAAATTTTTTATTTGCATACTAAAAGGTCTCTCATTCCATATGTTTGTGCACTGTAATCATTCAATTTGCTTGTTTAATATGCTGGGCTTAGGAAAATACGATTATACTTATACAATCTGGGTGATTGATGATAGATTGTGTTGTGATCGTGCAACAATTATGGTGAATAATAAGGAATCAATCAATTAATAAAACAAGAGAAAATAACACAGAGATTTACGTAATTCGGCAATGTGCCTACATCCACATGAGCGAGCGGCCGTTCTTTTTCATTATTCAAAGTAGGGTTACATCTTAAGTATTTATATAACCCTAGTACGGACATATTTACAAAATACCATTGTACAGTACCGCGGAGGCGTTGCTCCCGCACCCCCAACTAATCAGCATCCCCCATACATAAAATATATCAATCCCGCAAGCCAGATGCCGTCGCGGCCTTCGCTCTGGCATTTGCCTCCTTGCCATTGTGCATAAAGCAAATATGAGTCACACATACTCTAACAGATTGAAATAGTATACATTGATCTGTAATTTTTTTTTTTTAATTTGCCTACATAGAAACAGAGGAATGAGGGAGGGCGATATAACCTAAACCTACAAAACGACCCAGAAAAGAAAAAAAAATTTATCATGTTTTAGCTTCTTTATGCATAAAAAAGATAACAACCCAACCCAACTCAATTCAACAAAACTTTTATTCGGTCGTGGTTCTGACTTCTCTATCGTGTGAAGAACCATATGAGCAATGGTATTGGAACTTAAAAATCTAACTTAATTTATTGACCTAATTCACTGTGACATTTGGATTGACTGTAGGGTCTATCGAACATTGAAATATGATGTTGTTCCAATGATTCTTATTAAACCACATCATTATGTTAACAAATTAGATCAGATTTTTAAGTCCAAATAACATTACTCGAACCATATTCCTTATTAATCTTACATTCTGAAGTAAATGAAACCCGAACTTAGGAGTGGTTTAAGGCCAACCCTCATGACTCCTCAAGGGCCTTTTCTACCAATTGGTCCAATATCATTAAAATTGGCAATGAAATAATAAAAACAATGAAGAATAATTATATTATGTGCTCTTTTTGAAAGTTTTCTTGTAGTTGAAGATAAGGAAACCATAATTTTGTAGACAAAAGATTTTGTCCACTCAATTACTCTAATAATGAGGTTAAGTGTATCTGGTACTTAAAAAAATGTGTTTTTTATTTTTTAAACGATTGCATATCCTCTAATTCTTTTCAAATGATGAGGATCTACATACGTTAATAAATTAATTTTTTAATAATTTAAAGACAATTAGAGGATCTTTTAATTATTTTGTAACGGGATTGGGCCTCACCCCTATGTTTCCTACACTTACTAGTATGATTATTGTATTAACATCTTAGAGCCAAGTTAGGTTCGTTTTCAGAAAGAGTAACAAGAGTAATTAAGGATTTCATGATTTCACCAAAAGTCTATTGGAGTGGTCTCTGGATACTCTCAATTGCTTCCACTCCATATTTAATTATATAAAAAAAAACNATGAGGGAGGGCGATATAACCTAAACCTACAAAACGACCCAGAAAAGAAAAAAAAATTTATCATGTTTTAGCTTCTTTATGCATAAAAAAGATAACAACCCAACCCAACTCAATTCAACAAAACTTTTATTCGGTCGTGGTTCTGACTTCTCTATCGTGTGAAGAACCATATGAGCAATGGTATTGGAACTTAAAAATCTAACTTAATTTATTGACCTAATTCACTGTGACATTTGGATTGACTGTAGGGTCTATCGAACATTGAAATATGATGTTGTTCCAATGATTCTTATTAAACCACATCATTATGTTAACAAATTAGATCAGATTTTTAAGTCCAAATAACATTACTCGAACCATATTCCTTATTAATCTTACATTCTGAAGTAAATGAAACCCGAACTTAGGAGTGGTTTAAGGCCAACCCTCATGACTCCTCAAGGGCCTTTTCTACCAATTGGTCCAATATCATTAAAATTGGCAATGAAATAATAAAAACAATGAAGAATAATTATATTATGTGCTCTTTTTGAAAGTTTTCTTGTAGTTGAAGATAAGGAAACCATAATTTTGTAGACAAAAGATTTTGTCCACTCAATTACTCTAATAATGAGGTTAAGTGTATCTGGTACTTAAAAAAATGTGTTTTTTATTTTTTAAACGATTGCATATCCTCTAATTCTTTTCAAATGATGAGGATCTACATACGTTAATAAATTAATTTTTTAATAATTTAAAGACAATTAGAGGATCTTTTAATTATTTTGTAACGGGATTGGGCCTCACCCCTATGTTTCCTACACTTACTAGTATGATTATTGTATTAACATCTTAGAGCCAAGTTAGGTTCGTTTTCAGAAAGAGTAACAAGAGTAGTTAAGGATTTCATGATTCCATCAGTGAAAGTTTATCGGAGTGGTCTCTGGATGCTCCCAATTGCTTCCACTCCATATTTAATTATATAAAAAAAATCTTAGAGCTAATTGCTGCCAGATTTTTTGCATTTTCTGCGAAGCCTAGATTGGTGATCATGCTTATTTTTAGTTGGACCCTTCTTTTTTCGTAGTGATTGAACAAACCGGCAATCGCTGCTGGATTTGCGGTTGATGTCTTAGCATATTCCTCTCTCTCTCTCTGCGGTTGATGTCTTAGCATATTCCTCTCTCTCTCTCTCTCTCTCTCAGATGATAAAATGCTTACAGCGTTCACATTATTNGACTGTAGGGTCTATCGAACATTGAAATATGATGTTGTTCCAATGATTCTTATTAAACCACATCATTATGTTAACAAATTAGATCAGATTTTTAAGTCCAAATAACATTACTCGAACCATATTCCTTATTAATCTTACATTCTGAAGTAAATGAAACCCGAACTTAGGAGTGGTTTAAGGCCAACCCTCATGACTCCTCAAGGGCCTTTTCTACCAATTGGTCCAATATCATTAAAATTGGCAATGAAATAATAAAAACAATGAAGAATAATTATATTATGTGCTCTTTTTGAAAGTTTTCTTGTAGTTGAAGATAAGGAAACCATAATTTTGTAGACAAAAGATTTTGTCCACTCAATTACTCTAATAATGAGGTTAAGTGTATCTGGTACTTAAAAAAATGTGTTTTTTATTTTTTAAACGATTGCATATCCTCTAATTCTTTTCAAATGATGAGGATCTACATACGTTAATAAATTAATTTTTTAATAATTTAAAGACAATTAGAGGATCTTTTAATTATTTTGTAACGGGATTGGGCCTCACCCCTATGTTTCCTACACTTACTAGTATGATTATTGTATTAACATCTTAGAGCCAAGTTAGGTTCGTTTTCAGAAAGAGTAACAAGAGTAGTTAAGGATTTCATGATTCCATCAGTGAAAGTTTATCGGAGTGGTCTCTGGATGCTCCCAATTGCTTCCACTCCATATTTAATTATATAAAAAAAATCTTAGAGCTAATTGCTGCCAGATTTTTTGCATTTTCTGCGAAGCCTAGATTGGTGATCATGCTTATTTTTAGTTGGACCCTTCTTTTTTCGTAGTGATTGAACAAACCGGCAATCGCTGCTGGATTTGCGGTTGATGTCTTAGCATATTCCTCTCTCTCTCTCTGCGGTTGATGTCTTAGCATATTCCTCTCTCTCTCTCTCTCTCTTACAGATGATAAAATGCTTACAGCGTTCACATTATTCACCAACTATTTTGTCTTCATGCACCATCCTATACACAAACATTAGCAAGTTATATTATTTATTTTCGTTTGTTGTTTGCCTAAAGACCTACGAAGAAAAGGAGAATCTAATATAGGTGGAGAGGAAAGAAAGTCAAAAAACCTCTACAAAGAGAAGAGTTCGTTCTACGTTTTCGGGAGGTTGCATAATTTTTCATTTTGGGAAATTTTTGTAATATTTTTGGATTGTGGTATCTCAAAGCGTGATTTCTAGATGCGTATATGAAATGGATGTTCAACCAAAATCAGATTGCTTAGGTTATATTGTAGTATACAATAATGCCATAGACGTTACAAACTAAGCAATGAGTTGCCTACAATTTGCTTCATAATCTTGTCGGCTCTAAATAAAATAGAACTAATGTTGACTTGAACACCAATCACTTGATACTAAAACCATAATGTTTTAAGCTATTACCCTTGCACTAATGTTATAGACAGTGTTGCATTTTACAAGACAATACAAAATACTTAATTAGCATATTTATGTGCAAGTTAGATTTTGAGTCAAATATACGAAATAATATAATTCTCGGGATCACCACGTATGCAAATAGAGTCGGACACATAATAAATACACTTATGATGCTTCGAAGAAGAAACTAATTATGAAACCGATGAAACGGGAAATAGGGTTTTACTCAAAACCTTCCAAAACTCAAATCTAATGTCATATTAGAGCATCTTCAATTATGAATCAAATTTAAATTTAAATTTTGAATAAAAAACTTAATTTGGTATACAATACTCCAATTGACAAATTCAAATTTCTATTCATATCTTTTAAAAAATTCTCTTATTATTCCAAAACTCATTTTTTTTTTTTGTCATTCAAATCATAATATTTGATAAAATAAATGAATATTTCACCCCTCCACAAATGGGTAATTAAAAAAAAATGATATTTGTATACAACACTTTATGGAAATAAAAAAACCATCTCAGAATTTAAAGATTGTTCTACTCCCTTATC